TTGTTTTGCTCTCGTCGCGCTCCCGAGTATGTACTTAAGTCCACTTTGCCCTATGATTTCCACTTCTGTCAACCACTATCCTATTTTTCATACTTATTCACGATATTCACTATATTAAAGACGTGAACCTAAGAGTGTAACTTTCGGAAATAATTACATAATTAATATGTTTCATAAAATTTTCTGTGGAATTGCTAGGGCTTCTATGTATACATACACATACGAGACGTTATTGGGTAATTATTTTTGCAATACTTAAATGACCTTAATCTCTATGAATGAATTTGGTGTCTATTTTAATCTATTTTATTTTGTAATTATTTTCATTAGATGGCAGATTTCTACTGCAGAGAATTAGGTCTCTCCCAAAGATTTCCACAGGGTTCAGTATTGGGGCTGCCTTTAATTAATTTTCATCAACTCAGCTACCCACCTAGTTTTTTTTGTAGTGAATCATTTGCAATTAGTGCCACTATTAGCAAATGTGCTGATAATCGGTTATGTCAACACAGGCGAACTCTCCAACGGGAGTTTCTTCACTACATTACTCCAACGGGAGTATATCTTTTCTTTTGAGCCTTTTGTTGTAAATGCAGATTGTCAACTGTTTAGTCAATTCATACGGATGGTTCTCAAGGCTGTTACGGTATCATAAAATGGTACTTTTGATTGCCTGTTTTACCGTGTTCATTTCCATATGTGGGTACGTTAGCCATACTACGCAAGATAATGTTTTGCATTCTTTGTAACATGAATATATTGGAGATACAGGCGCTCTCTCATAGTTGAATTCCCTACATCCATGCTGGTTTCAGTGTTGTTTTGTAAATGAGTAGTTTGTTGTCTATTGACACTTGCTGTTTCGTCCGACCAGCCAGTTTAGATTTTTGTTTTGCAGGTTGAGTTCCTCTCGTTTTGCCTTTAAGTGCTGTCTCCTTGTTAGTCGCCGATCAAGATGTAAGCCCAAATATTTCACAGTTACTTTGTGGGAGTTCTGCATTCTCAAGTTGGACTGCCGGACAGTTTCCTTTCCTCAGAGTAGATAGATAGATAGATAAAATCTTTATTCACTACCATGACAAATACATACACTGACACATGATACAGACATTAACTTAGACGTAACACAGTAATATATTCTACTAGTATCTGTCTTGGAAGCCATGGCAATGAAAAGGCGCTGACTCAGCATAAATGACGCGGCTGTCCGCGACTCTGGTATTCTGCCAGGACCCTATAGGGACAGAGATGCCACTCAGGTCGTAAAAAGCCAAAACAAAACCAATTTAATTCAATTCAAATACTAACCAATTCAATTCAATTCAATTCAAATTCTAATTAATTCAATTCAATCTAATTCAATTTAACTCAATTCAATCCAATTTAATTTCATCCAATTTTTTTTTCTCAAACACCTTAGCCACTCATATTTCCTTTCCTTATTAATTTTTAAGTTTGGAGAGTGTAAGAGATTCGCATAAGTGAATGCGTAAGTCCAGACTTAAGAAGCTACAATGTTATAAATGATCTTTAACCTAAAAAGATAGTTCCGTACTACTTTGACTATATGCCTGCTTTATATGCTACTCAAAGCGCAGTCGCTATCCGTAATGACACCCAAACTCTGAACCTCCGACACCAACTAATACATCTATCCAAAACCTTTACTTAAGGAAAATGTGATTCTATATACTGAATCTGTTTCTTGGAACCCATAATCATGAATTTGAACTTAGTGTGGGGTAGAGTTATTACCCGACCATGCTGTAAGACGGTTTAAGTCATCATTGATCTTAACGATGGCTTCAGCGGTATACTTTGGAAAGAAAGAAAGGTATAACTGTAAGTCATCAGCATAAAGATGGTACCGGAAATACCTAAAACAGCTCACAATGTCAGATATATTTAAAATTAATATGAAAGGACCCAAAATAGATCCCTGGGGCACTCCTCTGTTCACTTGCTTACAGGTCGACGTCATAAAGCTATCGTCTGGTCTATGTAACTTTACTTGCTGAGTGCGAGCAATAAAGGTCACATGAACTGATTTTATGGCACTAGCTTTGATTCGCAACGTTTGAAGCCATTTTGTTATTCCATTATGTCCATGTTGTAAGACTAGTGATGCTTTAGTAGTATCTTTATCACTGGCCAGAATCACTGTATCGTCAGCGTAAGTCGCAGTAGGTATCAGGTATAGGTACTATAGGCAGATTGCATTGTATAAGTATGTATAGTACTGGGTCTAAAACAGATCCCGACAGCACGGCTGCTTTTATGTCGTACAAGTTTGATGTTGCCTCTTGCATCCTTTACTTGTTCTCATGTATAGATTTAAAAGCTTTGATGATGTCTTGTGGATTAACATGGTGAAAATTAATTACACTGCCACAAACATTAACATTTTTCTTTAGGAGGTCAATAGCAAGATGTTTACGGCGATTTCCGAAAAGAACGATTCAAAAGCTTGGGCTACCTCATCTTTAGATTTTATAAGTTTGCCGTCTAATTCTAGAGCTATGTCTCTATCGTGTTGTTTAATATATATGTGTATGTGATTTCTTAAGTTCAATGTTACTTCCTATATATTCCCGAAATGATTCCCAATCAGCGAACTCGTTATAGAGTGTGTCTGGTGTTCCGCAATTAATAATCATTGTACTTATCGTTAAAAGTACCGGCGTATGGTCAGACGAACTATGTGACCACGATTTCACTTAAAAAATAAAGCTTTGAAATCCCTTTTACGATAAAAAAATCCAACAAATCTAGATTTGTTTTAGGATCTGTTAGCCAATATGTGGGTTCTTTATCTATCTTCATCTTCTGTCTACCTCGCGTTGTTATAAGATGTGAACCCCAATTCCTATGAGTATGTCTGGAGTTCCAGTATTCTCCAGTCGCGAATAGGTTTCCTAGATGCTCGAATAGATGGGTAAACATAGGCTCCGTTATGGTGTCTCTAGGTGGGCAACAGACGGCGGAGAGGTTCAAGTGCCCACCTATCTTCAACTGCCACTGTAGTGGCAGACAACAGCAATTACTCTTTTATAGGCTTCTATGTTGCTGCAACTAATTCTGAGTTGGTTTTCCTTTACAGTTTTGTATGTAAATTCTGGTCTTTCAGCAGCAGTTTCGAGAAGTTCTATTAGTTTGCTGACATCTTCAATGTCATACAGGATAATAGGGGGAGGTTTGTTAGGTTTCTTACTGTCGGGTTTTGTGGTGTTTCCGGCACAGTCAACATTAAATTCATTGCATCTGTTCGAAGTCGTAATTCTACCGGCTAGGGGCTTTGGAGCATTTTCCTTTTGTTAGCATTCTTGCGTGGTGGCACCCTCTGCCCTTTGTTTCTTTTGGTCATCCTCATCAATGTAGTTGGGGACATTTTTATAATGATTATAATAACCTTTTGAAGAAACATAATAATAATATTTATAAACAAATACTTAATTTGTCGAGTTGATATGTGATATAATTTAAAAATCACACGGGAATCGAAACTATTTTTCCGAATTTAAATCGCGTATATTTGTTTTTTTAAACAAACCAACGTTTCCGACCCTTCACAAGCAAACGTGACAATGGGACCTGTAAAGGGCACAAAACGTTGGTTTGTTTGAAAAAACAAATATACGCGATTTAAATCCGGGAAAAATGGTTTCATTTCCTAAATACTTAATATTCTCATCATTTCAAGACTGGCAAGTTGACACCGGTTGTTCTTCTACTTTCCGTTAATGAAAAGGCAAGGGTTTTATAGCCATACATCCAAGTCTTTGTGATTTTTTCTTTAGCTTATATTAGTTAGATAGGCTTACACCAAGTCTTCAATCTATTATTATATTTTAAAACAATAAGGTACGTCTTCGGCGAGTCGTCATATCCGTTTGAAGTCAACCAGGGTATAAACTTTCAATTCCAGGTAATGGCGTCAATCCTGTATATATTTTCCATGTTACGTTTTTAATCTTCCATTTATTTCTATGATTAAAAGGTAATCAAAACCGGAGACAATTAAACAATTGTTTAATTTTATACAAACTTTTGTATTTTAAAATTGCACACAAAGATGGCAAACAATACATTCTTTGGTAACATCATTTCTAAAATTAAAACTAGTTATGATAACACATAGTTATTTTTGTCATTATGTAGATTAATACTTTGTTATATATTAAGTACATACTACCATGCCTGTCTCCCACTAGGCTAGGCAGAGACTATGAACCTCCATCCGCTACACTAACTGCCCTACCTCTTCCTTCACTCATATCAGTCTTTCCATGCACGCACAGTTATTTTGGAACTTTCGACCAGGCCTTTTTAAGGATAACTCAATGTGGGAAATTAATGACAGTAGTTCTTGTGCTTTAATGTGTGTAACATATGTATGACGCCATATGTGTGATTTTAACTTCATGTGTAAATAGTATGGGCGTGCAGATATAATACTTACTGTAAATAAAATGTAAATGTAAAGTAAAAGTAAATTGTTAAATTCAATCACGCCCAGACGAAGAAACGGATTGCAATGAAAAGGAAAGACGCCATTTGTAAGGTCAATTAATTTGGCGTCAAATAAACATCAGAAAATAAACCAGTCCATAAGAAAATTATAATACACAGCATTCATTTTATACAGTACAAAAAAAAATTACCTTAACATTTCGTCTTTATTTATAAATGCATTATTTTATTTAACATACAGCCAATATTATTATCTTTTACCAGTAACACGACTACATCATAACTACATTATCGTACTTGTAGGCTAACAAGTCGCTTTTGGATCCTAAAATCTGGGCTTAGATAAAAGTGTTACATTTTGACATCAATATTCGTGTAATGATGGTAAAAGGAATCACTTTCTATAAAATTCTGCAACATGTTATATATGTCAGTCTTTATTTCGCGTTTGAAATTGTCAAATGAATTCGTTTCAATTTCACTGTATATGAGCTTGTATGTATTTCCAAAAAAATCTTTAAAATGTTATACTACACAAAACTTTCTTTACTTATAAAGTCGTATACAAAAATGTTCTTGTCTCCTCTGTCCTGAGCTGGTACACACACAAACCTATTTTTTCCCTCACTAACGTCTAGAGTTATAGAATATACGTTATTGGTCTTAACATCTAAATTTAATATTTGTATTTGTTTATTGTTCTCGGTATCATCATTTGCATTATTATCGTGAACTTCTACTAAGACATCATTATTTGTCGCTTCTACAAGGCTTGAAATATTTTTAGTTGTTTCATCAACTATATCATCGACTTTATCCTTCGCTTGATTCATTTCAGCTATTATTTTCATACTATTACGTCTTGGATAATCTGCAGTCAACGGTTCTATTTCTCTTTTTAATACTTCATCTAAATCTTTGAGTTCTTTAGAGTCCTTAGTTTTTTTGCTTTCTCTATTCACTGCGGGTTTCTGCGAAGATGCTCTGTTACTATATCTTTTCCAAAACGAATCTGACGTATTCTGACTGCTTGAGAACGCCGTTGAGGTTGTCGTGTTAAATGTGTCCCTTCTTTGCATGTTCTCTCTAAAAGCCCTACTGCATTTTATCAACTTATTTATTCTTAACAATTTAACAAAACCTTCCCTAAACTTTGATGACATCAAATTGTACAATATAGGATTAATCGCCGAATTTAAATAGAGCATTACTCTACAAAAATACAATAGTATATAATAACCATCTATACCTAGTGACATTATTGTCTCGGGTGGGAATACGATAATCCAAAGAGTCAATGCTTTGAAGGGTAGAAGACATACAAAGAAGGATAATACTACGGTACCGAGCATAAGGATAACTTGTTTTCTATACCGTAGTACACTGCCGGCATTGGTAGTGTTTTTTGTGTTTTGCGATATGATAATGGGGTTTTCCATTAGATTCTTCGCTATGACGCTGTATAGGACGAGAAGGACGCCGAGTGGGATGATGAAGAAGACAGCAATAGTTAGAATGAAGAACAACGCTGACCAGAATGTATCCGCCTGAGTGAGACAGACAGGCTCCTTGCTTCCGTCATCGTATTCTTCATAGGTGAATGTTGCCACGGCGAGAATGGGGCTGCAAAGATAGAGAACACATTAATTAAATAGTGTTTCTTTAGACCTCGTTATTATACGAGCTGCAATTTTTGTACTAATGTGGTAAACCAAGGGGTTAATACAAGTGTAATCTTTAAATAGTTTTACAAATATCAACTTCGGAATCGACTTAGCGATATACTGATAATGCTGGGTTTCCACGGCCTGTGATTTTAAAGGCCGTTCCAATTCCAGGCGGTCTCGGAACGACACGCATGGTGGCGCGTATTCTGGTGTGTGTTTACAGCTCTCACCTAGTTTGAGCTATCATTCGAAAATATCATGAGAAGAACTCATAGCTATTTCTGCAGCCACTTTTGTATTATAGTGGATACAACATACTTAACAAAAAGAACCAGAAGAAAAGACAATACTGGGTGTTATCATTGAACTAGAGCAGGTTGAGAGTCTTAAGATTTTATTGAATTGAATATATGTAGTATGCTTTACCGATTTATACTAATTACTTAACACTGTCAAACAAGGAATGATTGCTAAACGCACTTGCTTTTGCGCCACGCCTTTGAATTTGAGTATGTTCACTTGACAAGCATTTGACATGCTTTCAACGAGCGTTGGAGTTTTGTACTACATAATGGCACGCGCTTCTCGGGCGTGCCATTATGTAGCTCGCGTTGTCACAGTTTTATTGCGAATATTTACATAATTATACAACATTTTCTTCTTTTCATCATCGTTTTATTCTTCACAGAATATAAGGACAAGTTCTTCCCAAGCCCGTCTTCTTAAAATATTATTCAAATAATATCTATTTGTAATATCCCATATTGCTTTCTCAACGTCGTCTATCAATGATCTGTAATGAATCCGTATTAAAGTCTGTACCCGTTTGTACTAAAAATTGTTTAATACACAATCGCAAAAAACCCGTTTTAACGCGTCGAAAACGCACGTTCATGTGAACGGCGGCGCGGTGATGCGGTACCACCAGTGGCGGATTTGCAGTCCTGGCCGCCCTAGGCCCCAGGCTATGTAGTCAGTACCAGCCGCCCGTTTCTCAGCACTCATCATAGACTGGTAGACTACCTAATGAATTTTTGAACTTTATCGCAAACTTTTATCGAAATCGATTCACAAATTCACTATTTATTATTTTTAATAATTTTAATATTTTTCTAAGACAATTGATTTGATATATCTCTGTTAGTTTACGGGGCGCACGCCATGGCGCCATTTAGAATATTTAGGTACTCTCAGTTATTTCCTGTGAATTTTTGTCACGTTTGGCCGCCCCTAAATCTTGCCACCTTAGACCCGGGCCCACTGGGCCTTAGGGCAAATCCGCCACTGAGTACGACAAACCCATGGTCACAAAGCGCTCGACAACGAGGGCTGACAATTTTTCGGCGCGGGGCGTTAGGCGATTAACACACTGCACCGCGCCCCGCGACGGAGCGCGGAGCTGCGTTTCTTAACAGGGAGCAGAGGAAAAATTCCTAATCTTCGATTTGAGTTTAGAGGGGTATATCCACTTTAAAGTTAAAAATAAAGTATTGTATGAGTGGCTATACGATATATTCAAGCATAGACATTAATCAGAAACATAAAACAATAAAATTTCCTGGATAGATAAAAATCACGAAATGACCTCTAATTTTCACATTTTTTCAATTTATCCTCGAAATGCTACAGGTTATTAGGACAAAAATTAGATAATTAATTATATTTATGCATAATCGACAACTGTCACTACGGATTTTTTTAATCCCTTTAGTTTTAGAGTTATTCTGCTAAAACGCATTTGGTACTTTTAATGCAAAATTCAACATCTCCTGTCGCATGTCACGCGAACTTCAGGCATATATTTGTTTCACAAATTTGGGCGAAGCCAACGCAACGTCAAAATTTTTTGGCATGAGAGCTCTTAACGTCATACCGAAGTATCTCAGTTTGTACAGAAAACTCACGCCGTACAACACAATAACAACGCGTCTCCTTGCGGGAATACGCATTATGCATTGTCACGCGCACTACGCTGCATGGTGCGGGGCAGTGCAGTGTGATAATCGCCTTAGCGCAGCGTCGAACGAGCGTGAGCATGTGAACACCAATTTATTGTACGTACAAAATTCGGTAAGTTGTAAGCGCGCGATGAACGCTCGTCATGCGTGTGTACATGTAGGGTATTATATTTGTGATTGTAATTGTATTATTATATTTTATTATTTTTTTGCGGAGCGAAGGTGGTAAAATTAACAGTATGAAAACAAATTCGACGCAAGTGCCGTTATTTTGCATGATTTAACATTTACTGGGTTCGCGAAGTAGTAAATTAATTTATTTCCATTTTTATTAACATGGATTTCCGCAAAATAACGCCTAACGCCTAACCCCCTGTTCACACGGCATTGTACTGCACATTGTTTGCGGTATAAATCCGAACCGAATAAACAGTGGATGTAGAACCATTCACACGCTGTTTGTCCTGCAAAAAAATGCGCACACATACAAACGCACATCGAACACTGCAAAAAAACGTGCAATACCGTGTGTGTGAACGGGGGGTAACGCCTAATGTATGAATTATTTACTATGAAAAACATATAGCAGAATTTAAACAGCTTCATTTGAAAGCCCAACCAGTTGTAAGGTTAAACCAATTTATTTGTTCCCGTAGCTCTTCAAATTCGTTAACAGGCGTGTATGTGGAACCAGGAGACGATACACAAAGCGATGTAGACTGTAATGATAAGGCCTCTAGCGTTATCTGCTTGTTGAAAAATGACGCTGAAATTCCACCCCAAAACCCATCGAATCGGAAAGGCGTTTTGATTAGGTGCTAAAGCCGGAACGTCAACTGAATGGTTTTCAATCAACGTCTGAATGTAGACGGCCATTGCCATTGGCTATAACTTTCGTGAGGGTAAAGGACGACCTTTTGTAATATTTGGCTTATACAGGGTGTAAATAAAAGGTGTTGTACATGTGTTACTAGCACCCACGAAGCGGTTTGTTTCGAACATAAAGAGTGGAGTTTTCTACTTATTCATCAGACAACAAGAATGTGGGGTCTTTCATAACAAAAATGAATAGGCACCTTCTAAGCAAGTATTTGCAATCCTCGATGACATGTATATTTCCATTTTCAAAAAATCATAATTTTCAGAAAAACATATGTTTTTCCGAATATTTTTCCAATATTATTCCTTTAATTTTCCACATTTGACGTCGACACCTGTCAAAAATTGAAGTTACTGAACGAAAACTATGGAGCCATTAAAAAAATTTTTTCGCTGTTGTGAAATCATTTTGAATCTTGTTTTTCTCTTTGTAGCTATGCAGGTTTATTTTATAATTCACGTTGAATAAAGTTTCTAAAGATATTTCTAAACGTAGAACCTTTTTCAAATTTTTTGCGATTTTTTCCGGACAAATTTCCTCTATTTGAAATTTTTCTGAAAATTACCCAACAGTATGTATATTAATTACAATCAAGTGGGTCAGAGGATTTGAATCCATAAAAAAGTGTCCATTATACAGAACTACATTGGTGAAATAGCTCAGACGCATCAGTAACAACGATATTGTCAATGTGTTAAATTTCAGTTAAACTTTACTACTGGAAAATATGGCTTTTTTCCCAGTTTTTTTTAACCCCCCGAACGCCAAACGCAAAGGAACCTAGTGCGGTGTTCTCTTACTAAGCTACCACCGTTCTTAAATATAGATTCGTTAGTATTAAATAAAAAAGAAATAGTCTCTTGCGATAACGGCCAAGACAAATATTAAATAACGAATTTTCCTGTCCAAATTAAGTTACGAAACACAGTCCTGAAGGAAGACGAAAATAATATTTGCAATTCATTACATAGGTACACAAAAAAGAGGATTTCCTTTTTTGAAATGAAGGAAAAAACATAAAACCAAATATGACTAACAACTGTCATAATGTAATGAAAATATCAATTGTACGTAGAAGAACTTTTTCTTTTTAGGATAATAATTTATATGTAGCGCAATGCAGCGTCACCGTGTGGCATCGCTCTTGCCGCAGCCAGGCGATACGACGCACGGTGTCATTGCGATATTTTTTTATGACAAGTGATAAGACGAAGAAGTCGTATGCTGGTGGAAACGACACGCCTGTTCATAACAGTGGCAGTGCCCCTCAGAGCTTCAAATCGCAAAGATCTAAGGGTCACTCTTACTACGCTCACCCTAGGGGTCACCCTTAGACATAAGTTGAAGCCGTGCTGTCAGTACACACTTTGGAAAATGCAATATAGTATAGAACGTAGAAAATTATTGTCTTGGAAGCAAAAGTTCTGAATTTAGCGTTGCTCTTTTTTGGTTACCGACTCAGGACACCATTACAGGAAACCGCAGTAGTGACGTAGTCGTCAATACTTACAGGAAAATGAAGCATGTCAATTCTCAATACTTAATCATTTTATAGCTCTCCATAAGAGAATAGGTGTTATAATCAATTTAAGTACATTTTTGGACCCAGTAGGGCATGACTTTGCCACTTTACTTATTTCAGCCGCCGTAGATACCTTACGCCGTAGGGTAAGGGTGCTGGTGAAATTACAGGCACATGGGACTTGTCAACTCAGGGTGATGGGCACAGTGGCAGTTCCCATAAGATCGTTGCGATTTAAAGCACTGAATGGCACTGCAGCAGATACGGCGTGTCGCTTACCACCAGGCGCACGACTTGTTCGTCCCGCTACTTAGTATCATATAATCTCAGTACAGAGTACTAAAAAAACCGACCTCAAAAGTACGTGGAATTATGTCTATTTGCTAAGTTTTATTGAAATAACGCCTAGTTCACTATACAGGACTTGACACTGGAGATAATAAAAATCGGTTCTCACTACTCAAAGTTTATTGAGAGAAAAACGCCTTGAATTGGAGAATAGCAAAATCAACCATTAAAGTAGTTGCTCCTAAATTAAAGTTAGGCGCTATTTATAGAAATGAATCTTCATGCGTGAACAGCCACCCTTCTAGGTG